AGCCGTCATTGTTGTTTGGCGGGTCCGGGCTGGGGATTCGAACCCGCCACCTTAGGTGTACGTGGCTGGCGCCTTAGCCCGTTGAGCTATAGGCGCCGAGCCCTGTTTTCTTTCAATCATCTTTGTCTTTGACTTTAAGCCCAGTATCTGTCTACTTACAAACCACATCAAATAAATAAAAGAAGAAAAATATGGTCACATATTATCTTTAAAAACAGAATGTTCCAAGTTTTTATTACAAAAGACGATGCAATGAGGTCCTTTTTCAAAGATTAATTGTAAGTGAACAGCCTCTTTCCTTTTTAATTCTTAGAGATACAATGCTTACTCACTGATTCCTGAATTTGAGAATATTCATTGAAGATACTGACAACTGAAAATTCCCACACTGAGATTTTGCTTATATGATCAATTTCACCATCATCATTAGGGTCCCGAAAGCTTCTCTCTCTTTGTTTTCATCTTGTGATTCTCTAAGAACTATGAAACATCTTGCTCTGTTAATTTTATTCTCTTTGCCATATGGGCAGAAAATTAAAAAAAAACCTGAATTCTCAATTGTATTCAACATAAGCTAAAACAAAACAACTATGAAGATGAGAGTCTCAGTAAACTTACTTTATATGCTCTTAAACTCTGGTGTTAACACTTTGGACAACAAGATAGAAAAGTTAAAGGATGATGTAATAGTGATGATTTATTAAAATACTGTCCCATCCTTCTATTCAATTTTATTACTCTTCCATTTTTAATATTTTACTGTTTTTTCCTCAGGGGAATATTTGATGAGTAACAATGAAATAATATCTACAATGATGATATAGCAAGATGTTCATGACATGAGAAAAATAAGAACACTCAGATTCCATAATGTATTTTAGAGTTATAAAAGCTTCCAATGGAGCCAGGTGTGGTGGCTCACACCTGTGATCCTAGCACTCAGGAAGGCTGAGTTTGAGACCAGCTTGAGCCACAGCATCTCTAAAAATAGCCGGATGTTGTGGGGGGCGCCTGTAGTCCCAGCTACTTGGGAGGCTGAGGCAAGAAAATTGCTTGAGCTCAAGAGTTTAGGTTGCTGTAAGCTATGATGCCATGGCACTCTACCAAGGGTGACAAAGTGAGACTCTGTCTCACAAAAAAACCCAAGACCAAACAAACAAACAAAAAAACCCATGAAAAAAGATTCCAATTAAAAAAAAAAAAAGAAAAGGAAAAAAGGTCCCAATGGGCTGACATGGTAATGTTAAGATAAAATGAGTTTTCTTTTCAAAATTAAACTTCTCTTTTCCTTGGAAGACCCCTATGAAGAACAAAAGTTATAAATAACAATCATTACAAATAGTAAGAGCTGCTCAAAAAGAAGACCAAAAATTAAAACTGGGTTTCAAGAACCCTAAGGTTATAGAAAGAATTAATAGGCAAAACTCCATTTATTCAATAACAGACTTGTTATTGGTGGCTATATTGTAGATAAATGTAAAATAGCTTACAGAATCATCCTCACTTTCACCATTACGCTTCCACCTCTGGAGGTGCCCGTAGCTCTGTGGTTAGGGTGCCAGCCACATACAACAAGGCTGGGGGGTTCAAACCCAGCCCGGGCCAGCTAAACAACAATGATAATTGCAATAAAAAATAGCTGGGCGTTGTGGTAGGCACCTGTGGTCCCAGCTACTTCTGAGGATGAGGCAAGAGAATCACTTAAGCCCAAGAGTTGGAGGTTGCTGTGAGCTGTGACGCCACAGCACTCTACCCAGCGTGACAGCTTGAGACTCTGTCTCAAAAAATAAAAATAAAAAAGAATAAAAAAAAAGCTTCTACCTCTGAAGGTCTTGTGGTTTAGGAGCCTAAGCTGGAAATCACTGGACCAGATGATCTCTGTATTCCCTGTGCCTAAACTTCACTAAAATAATATTCACAGGTGTTTTCCCTTTATTATAGGAATAATAAATTTCATTACAAGGAAAATACTTTCTATAATTCGACCTGAAAACATGAGCATCAAGTGGGGCACAATGTGAGGGTATATGGCTCACTTTTTGTGTATGGGGCAAAACGACAAGAGGAACTCTACCTAACAAATGCAAACACTGTAACCTAGTTGTTTGTATCCTCACATTAATCTGAAATTAAAAAAAAAAAAAGAACTTTAAAGATATCACAACATGAAATATGTTTATTCCTAGCAGGGTGTTCTGGTGGGCGCCTGTGGTCCCAGCTACTCGGGAGGCTGGGGCAAGAGAATCGCCTAAGCCCAGGAGTTAGAGGTTGCTGTGAGCTGTGTGACGCCACAGCACTCTACCGAGGGCAATAAAGCAACACTATCTCTCTACCAAAAAAAAAAAAAAAAAAAGAAAGAAAGAAAGAAAGAAAGAAAGAATTATTTTTATTCCATTATAGATCTCAGTACCCTGAGCCACCAGCCACTTGACTATTAAGAAAACCTGAGGTCTCCTGCCCTGTTTGTCTTAGTCTCTAGAGACTTAGTGTTTCATAGTAATCGATAAGTCTGTCTGTCCCAAAGCTCACAGGTGACAAGTGATGGAAGGCAAGTGACACCTCTACATGGAATATAGTTCCCTCTGCTGCTTGGGTTCTTCTATTCAGTCTGGCCAGCTGTTTTTCACCCATACTGTATATATTAAATAAATAAGTATGTGTATACATATAAACATCATTGCATAAACCAATATACAAACATGATAAACGTAAATAATTTCAAAAACGTGTATTTTCAACATTTTCTTTTTTAAAAATAAACTGCCTCAGGAAAATAAATATATTGCCTCAGGAAAGGGAGGGAAAAATGACGATTTCAAGGAAAATTTACTTTATATCCATTTAAAAAATTCGACACAAGAGTTCTCCTGAAAGAAAGAAAAGCAAATGATTCTATTTCCAAATACTTTATCGCATGGTTATCAAACATGCTGGGCTCCTTCCCACTGGGAACAAGGCCCAGGTGTCCGGCACACCTCCTGGGTGAAGGACATGGCTACGACTTAGACTTTACCTTACAGATGCAAACAGGGTAACCTGATTGTACCCTCAGCTCAACTGGAAATGACAGAACAAAAAAAGTAAAGTAGTCCCTTAATCCAAGTACAAGCCAACTACTCCCACGGATCAACAACAAAATCATGCTCTTACTGTCCCCATCAAAAAGACTCAGTAAATGACTGGATGACCTGATAAACCATTATGATAGACATGTGCTTTAGAAACCACCCACTGGGGTAAGTAATACTGTCTCATAACCTAGAGAAAAGACCACTTCTAAAAGCTCCAAAGTATACCCTGAACTATTATTTTTTTCTAATAAGAATATGTATTAGTTCAGTTGATCTTACTTTTAAAAAAGTCTTTAAAATGAGAACTTTTAATTGTGTTTTTTAACTCAAATAGAAGAAAGCATGCAACGTAATAATAAAAAATTCAGTATCTCTCATCAAATCATTATAAAACTTTAAGCAGTGATGTTTAGAAATTAAATGAATTTGTCTAAAATGCTTCTTGTAAGTACAAACATGTAGGTTCACTATACAAGACTTCCTTTTCTGACTTTTTGCCAATTCTAAGTCTTTTAGAGACAGAAAAATGGAATGTACTTTTAGTACTTAATGGAATGAGATAATACTATATGAATTTCTCATGTTTTAATGGTGTTTTGAAAACTCAAAGATGGTATTGATCTCCTTAATTTCAACACTCAAGGGCAGAAACTGAAAATCGATATGGTTCTACTATGCTAAAAAGCTACTCAGGAATGGTTTCCCTTCCTATAAAACCACTTCCCACTTCCAGGCTGACTGCCAAGCTTTCTCCAACTGTAATTTCTCCTGTATGCCCTTAGTATCACCACTGAATAATATATTTTCTATCCTATCAAATACATACTTATATGGTAACCAAAAATGCCAAGGTTTTTTTTTTTTTTTAATAGACAGTCTCACTTTATTGCCCTTGGTAGAGTGCTGTGGCATCACAGTTCACAGCAACCTCCAACTCCTGGGCTTAGGTGATTCTCTTGCCTCAGCCTCCCAAGTAGCTGGGACTACAGGTGCCCGCCATGATGTCCAGCTATTTTTTTGTTGCAGTCTGGGTGGGGCCGGGTTTGAACCTGCCACCCTCAGTATATGGGGCCGGCACCCTGCACACTGAGCCATAGGCGCTGCCCTCCAAAAGCCAAGGTTTTAAATAAGTTTAAATATTAAACAATCAGAGATATGCATAAAGATGTATAGTTAATGACAGTAATTACAGCATCATTTATAAGCAAGATCCTGGGAATAATACTAGGGAATTAGTTAAAATTAATGTTATATTAACACAATGAAACGCCAGTTATTAAAACCTATATTTTCCAAGAATAATATGTGAAAATGCCAATATAGAGAGTAAAAATCATACTAGACAGAAACTAGTATGAATTCAATTTTGTAAAGAGAATACACACACAGGAAAAAACCTCTGGAATATATGATAAAATATTAGTCATTCTCTAGAGAACATGGGTAATTTTTACTTTTTAAAAATGGTCCTGTTTTTCACTGAACATACAAAATTTCTACTGTAAAAGGCAGCTTTAAAAAGAAAAGTATCACAAACTTCAAAGTATTTTTTGTTAAATCAACATAAATTTTTTTAAGTTAGCCAATCCTTTATGACTGAATCAAATCAATAAGCATCAAATGATCACACACCTTGTGCTTAAACATCTATATGAACTGAAATATGTAACCAGCTGGGCACAGTGGCTCACGCCTAGCAATCTGGGAGGCTAAGGCACGTGGATTGCTTGAGCTTTGGAGTTTGAGACCAGCCTGAGCAAGAGTGAGACCCCATCTTACTAAAAATAGAAAAACTAGTCAGGCCTTGTGGTGAGTGCCTGTAGTCTCAGCTATTTGGGAGGCTGAGCTAGGAGGATTGCTTAAGCTCAAGAGTTTGAGGTTACAGTGAGCTAGGTTGATACCATGGCACTCTACTTAGGGTGACAGAGTAAGACTCTGTCTCCAAAAAAAAAAAAAAAATTAAACCACCTAATTAAAGAGTCTAATACACACCTTGATTTTCTTCAGGTGTTTCAATAAAATAAGGCATTCTTTTCATCGTTTCTCTCAGCTCTTGTTTCAAGGCCAGCACGTAATCTTCACTTTCTCCTGTTTTCAGCGGCGCTGGCTTATAATCTGTATCCTGTTAAATTAGAGACACGGGTTTTTTTAAGTAAATTAAATATTTTAAGATCCCTTTCATCTATATTCTAGAAAATGTCATTTTATAAAAATACTATCTATGTTTTACAGGCATTAAATTTTACAATCAACTTAAAAAATGCTGAGCTTCTGTAATCTAAATTTTAGCCCATTTCCTGCCTTGCTTATTTTAGAGGCAGGAAATATGCATAATTTTCCTACTGGCTCCACAAACTACACTAATAATCATTTGTCCATATAGTCTATTGACTAATGTAATTCTATATGGTTTTGCTTTTTAAAGATATTTTAAAAAATCAAGTTATTCACATGAGTAGAACTGCTTTAGCTCTTCCATTAATCTTAACTAGTGCTGGTGCCACGGGTGGGAGCAGTAGCATCAAAAAAATAATAGGAACAGCTAACTTTTAGCAATTGACCACTATGATCAAGATGTATTCAATATCCAACATATACTGTGTTATTTACAGCACTACCAATCATTTCTCCTTTTACAGTGAATAAGTTGAGAAGTAAACAACTTGTAATCCTATATAAAAAATGGCAGAGGGCAGCGCCTGTGGCTCAGTGGGTAGGGCGCCAGCCCACCCACTGAGGGTGGCAGGTTCAAACCTGGCCCCGGACAAATTGCACAAAAAAATAGGTGTTGTGGTAGGCGCCTGCGGTCCCAGCTACTGGGGAGACTGAAGCAAGAGAATCACCTAAGCCCAGGAGTTGGAGGTTGCTGTGAGCTGTGATGCCATGGCACTCTACTGAGGGCGACAGGGTGAGACTCTGTCTCTACAAAAAAGAAAAAAAAACGGCAAAGGAAGAACCTGTATCTACATTTTAATTTTTAAAAATTATACATATAGCCAGGTGCGGTGGCTTACGCCTGTAATCCTAGTACTCTGGGAGGCCAAGGCGGGTGGATTGTTTGAATTCACAAGTTCAAGATCAGTGTGAGCAAAAGCAAGACCCCGTCTCTACTAAAAATATAAAAACTGAGCCAAGGGGATGCTTAAGCCCAGTTGGAGGTTGCCGTGAGCTATGATGCCATAGCACTCTATCCAGGGCGACAGTTTTGAGATTCTGTCTCCCAATAAAAAATAAATAAATAAATGGGTCTTCAGGGTACACAGTAAAGATACTGCTGGTTTCACAGGGTAAAGATAAGGTGTACTTTAAAAATTCAACTCAAAATGTTATCTGTTCATGCTACGAAAATTTATTGATTCATTGAATGCCTACCATAACCAGACATGGTTAGATAACAGAAGATACATATGATGCAACAGTCAAAGTCCCTGCCTACATGGAACTTGCATTCTAGGGCAGAAACACAGCAAGTAAACAGTAAATGAGTGATACGCAATTTCAGGTAGTGACTGGTGACATGAAGAAAACGAAGGCAGGGAGAGGAAGAGGGACGGACAGAGAGCATGGGTGATGGAGGTGGCTGATCCACACAGGGAGGCATACACGGCTCTTGGGGAAATCACTTTTGAACAGAGATCTGCATAAAATCAGGAAGTCATCCATGCAGACGGAGAACAGATGGTTCCAGCTGGGAACCAGTAGGGGCGAAGGTCTAAGGGACAAGGAGATCCGCATAGCTGGGGAATGAGAAGGACAGTGGTAGGAAAAGGGTGGGAGAGACAGCAGAAAGGCCAGATCAAACACAGCCTCTGAGCCTGTGGGAAGACATTTAAATTTAATGCCAAGTATTAAGGAAAACTACATACTGACATTCCCTGTGGTTAGATGTAATCAACTCACATACAAGAAGAGCTTGTTGTAAAAGAAATTGCTGCAAGGTAACATTATGCGCTCACTTGAAGTGAAGGGTCTCTGTTTTTAGACTGAATATCCCAAAGGAAAGAAGCACCAGAACGAAGAAGCACAGACTCCCTAAGTGAGGTGCTTTGATCCCCAGATACAGGCCACAGTCCTCTCCTGACATAAATCCTTCAACAAAGGACTTTTCTCAGGCGCCGTGGCTCCTGCCTGCAATCCTAGCACTCTGGGAGGACAAGATGGATGAAGCTTGAGCTCAAGAGTTCGAGACTACCTTGAGCAAAAGTGAGACCCGGTTTCTACCAAAATAGAAAAACTGAAACAAACAAGAGGATCGCTTGAGCCCAGGAGTGCAGGTTGCTGTAAGCTATGACACTATGGCACTCTACCCAGGGCGACAGCTTGAGATTCTGTCTCCAAAAAAAATCTTTTTCTCTGGCTTGGCACCTGCAGCCCAAGCAGCTCAGGTGCCAGCCACATACACCAGAGCTGGCGGGTTCAAATCCAGCCCAGGCCTGCCAAACAACAATGACAACTACAACCAAAAAATAGCTGGCCGTTGTGGAAGGTGCCTGCAGTCCCAGCTACTTGGGAGGCTGAGGCAAGAGGATTGCTTAAGCCCAAGAGTTTGAGGTTGCTGTGAGCTGTGACATCACGGTACTCTACCCAGGGCGACAGCTTGAGGCTCTGTCTCAAAAAACAAAAACCAAAAAACTTTTCCTCCTGAAATGGGGAAAAGATTCCTGAAGGGTATCTGGTTACTTCCGTTTTCTATACTGTAGCACATGTTCATTTGGAAATGTAAGCTTACATTTCAAAGTAAGCGGAAAAACATTAAACATTACATCAACTATGTTTGTATCATGCTCACTAGATTTAAAACGACACTAAATGTGGTACAAACACTAACAACGTTTTGGGAAACAGTAACAAAATTCAAAATGACTTTGATAAAATAAGGAAATAAGTGTAAAAAAAAACCAAAAAACAGTTCAGTGTGAAAAAAGACCAGGTGGTATATTAAGGACCCCAATTAAATTCTCTATATAGCACAAGATGAGAAGAAAATCATGAAGTGAACGTATGGTAGATGGGAACTCAGAACAACTGTTAACACCTAACTGACTTTTTAAAATATTACTTTGATATCAGAACACATCAATGACAGCAATAGAAGATGTAATAATTGAAAGCTAATTCCTTATGCAATTTTTTTCTTTCTTTGAGATAGTTTTGCTATGTCATCTCGGTAGAGTGCTGTGGCATCACAGCTCACAGCAACCTCCAACTCTTGGGCTTAAATGATTCTCTTGCCTCAGCCTCCCAAGTAGCTAGGACTAC